GTTTAGTCTTTTTTTCCCTTCACATTGTTATCTTGGTCATTCTTTCATTTGTGGATATGCTATTTTGTTTTTCCTTCTTTTCACTTATGCTTGTGCTGAAATAGGTGGCAACTATTTCTGCAAACAGTGAAAGAGAAATCGGGGAGCTGATAGCTAGAGCAATGGAAAAAGTTGGAAAAGAAGGTGTCATCACTGTTGCTGTAAGTGCTGATAAACTTTTTATGAGTTGTTAAGCATTGTCGGTATTAATCACTTATTGCAACTCTAAACATTGCAGGATGGTAATACATTATATAACGAGCTGGAAGTGGTGGAGGGTATGAAATTAGCGAGGGGTTATATATCTCCCTATTTTATTACAGATGAAAAGACCCAGAAATGTGTGAGTTTTGAGTAACTGTTTATTCATCTGTTAATCTGCCTTATTTTTGAACGATACTCGTATACATCTGCTCAATCCTTGATACATCATCTCTTTACTTTATTTCATTGGCAAGTGTAACGACGTTGTGAGGAATATCATAAGCGACACCCATATAAAAGAATCACTTAGATTGCTGCAAAATTAGTCTTGGTGTGTTTTCTAGGAGACATTTAGGTTTAATGAACACACTCATTTACTTGACTGATCTAGAAGGAACTAGATACTCATGCCTGTGTTTGGTATCCTTTTCTCAGTATCTTTCCCACTTTTTAAATTTGAAGTACTTGTCGAAGTTCTTATTGGTAAGTTCTCACATGATAGATTTTAGGAGACATGCAATGATTGCATTTGTCATCCATCTTTGGAGGCCAAATTTCCTGTTGAAGAGTTCATGCTTGCATGGAGATAATTAATTTAGACTGTGCAATTTCATCCTGAACACGTCAGATGGACTTAATGAGAAGGAACCAAAGTCCCTGCCAAATTTGTTCCTTTTTTTTTTGAGTCAGTACGATAAGTACTTCAAACACAGGAACTGCTGATACCTATATTTTACCCTCAGAATTGCCCATGCGCTTTCCTTTGGAACAAACTCTACTAATCCCCCTGTTAGCCATTGCTGTACGAGGTGAACAAAGAGGTGAGGAGTTGCAAAGCATTTACCTCAAAAGAACTCAGCTGATCCCTGTGTTAGCTATGTTTTCTTCATAAGAGATAATTTAGTATGATGTGATGCAGTGACAGTTTCAGAAGTTTTTGTAGTTTCTAGACTCTTATTCTTCTTCGGAGATATTCCCTGACCTCTGATAAGCCGATCCCACTGAGGTTGGTAATATAAATGGTAGGATACACTTAAAGATGTATTTGCTCTGTCAATCTTTCTTAAAAACATTTTGGTGTTTTTTATTCGTTTTTGTTTTAAAGAGAGATAAAATTATGATAAAAACTATTAACTTAACTGGGTGAATGAGTTATGTGATTAAGCAGGTAAATATTGCTGTATTTATTTAATCTTTTTGCCTTTAAACTTTCTAGAAGTACAAATTTATTCCTTTTTCTCACCATTTTGACTTTGGAGTGCTTTCATGCTGCCATTATATGTTGAAAGTTAAAACTAAATTCATATCAACTCATTTTTGTCTGATATGTTCTAGGAACTTGATAATCCATTAATCCTTATTTATGGCAAAAAAATCTCGGACATGAATTCTCTTGTCCGGATATTGGAGCTTGCTGTAAAGGTAATGCTATAATTATTTGTTCCTGAATGGTTATTCATGTGAAAATAAATCACATATAAGATCATGTTCTAAAGTATTACTTATTTAAACAGAAAAACAGAGCTCTCTTAATTGTTGCCGAGGATGTGGAAGGTGATGCCCTGTCAATGCTTGTATTGAACAAGCATCATGCTGGTGTCAAGGTAAATCGTTTCTTCTCTTAATTTATTTCGAGTGCACTGATCACCTTGCAGATTTCTTTACCAATTTGGTTGCCTATAAGCTAAGGCACTGAAATTTGGGGAGAATTCATCTCTGTGCCTATAGCATTATAGTCACATCATCAGAAAGGAAACTGCTTCATCTTGCCTTTTTTGGTTCCTATTATTCCAAGTAACTCTTTATCATTTTTTCCTCCAACTACAGGTCTGTGCTATCAAAGCTCCTGGTTTTGGTGAAAATAGAAAAGCAAATTTGGAGGATCTTGCCATTCTTACTAGTGGTGAGGTTAGATCCCACTCAAGACAGAAACTTTGTTCAGCTTGGGGGGAAAAAGGAAAGAAAAAGAAGAAGGAAACCATATTAGTTTCCAGAAAATCTGCCTCCATTACAATTAGAGTTGTAGTGTGTAATGCGTTATCCTTTGATATACAGGTTATTGATGAAGATCGTGGCCTTTCTCTTGATAATGTCAAGCTAGATATGCTTGGTACCGCCAAAAAGGCTAGTACTTAACTGCATTCTTGATCAACCAAATAGGATAATTATTATTTTCATAGCTGATAAGAGGTCATCATTTATATTCACTTTTTATTGTTACAGGTCACTGTTTCTCAGGATGATACTATTGTATTACATGGCGGTGGTGACAAAAAGCTTATTGAAGAGAGGTGTGAACAGGTAAACCGGATTAAACTTCCACTGTAAAGATGATAATCTTTTGCTTTCCTCTACAGGTAATGGTTTTTATCTTGTTTGGACCTGAAAAATAATGGTGGGTGGGGGTCGTTTGTTTTGGAGTCAGCAGCCTTTTGTTTTCTATCACATTTTACTGTTGTTGTTGCTGTACATGTCATGAGAAAATTTGCATTTGACTAGTGAAGGAAAGAGCAACTTTGTCCTTATATCCTTCCAAGGAAAAGTAAGCTGTTGTACACTAAATACCGTCTAAAGTATCTCAAACAAGAGCAAGTATTTGTATGTATGACATAGGCGAGTCATTGTTCTTGTCCTAGTAGTCACATGGATAATTTATTTATAGATTTGACTTGCACATGTTAAAGTCAGTCAATTGTGTATATGCTCATGAGTTGGTGAATTTGTTTCCCTGTTTGTAGTACTTATTGCATTAGTTGTTCGAAAACACACATTTTAGTGTTGTATTGAAACTAATTTATTTACAGAAAATCCTTGTAGTCACTGTTTTAAATATCGGCCGATAATCGATATTATCGGCCGAGTTATCGGATTTGGGAGCTCTCCGCTAGGATAAATTGGATTTTTAATCGGTTATCGTTTTTGTAGGTTTATCGGCGATTTATCGGCGTTATCGGCACTTATCGGCCGATAAGTAAGACTTTTTTATTGGGATTATCGGCCCATTTTGACTAACATTATATTTTTTCAAGGCTATGATGCAAGTTTCGCTTTCTACAATTTGTTAGTGATTCTGAACATGATGATTTATATTTTGGTATGTTTATATTTCATTAAGCATGATTAGATTATATTTTTTAATTGTTATATTATATATACACATCATCCAGTATATCACTCTGATAAATACTACTTATCCCTGATATATCCCCGATTTTCGCTATCCGATAAGGATTTTGGCCGTCCGATAAATCCCCGATAACCGATATTTAAAACCTTGCTTGTAGTTGAGTACACGATTGGCACTATTGGTAAAGTTTTTAAATATTTAAATAGATGAAATTATTGAACCGATGGTTCTTTGACATTGTCTTCCTATCTGCTTGGATGCAATTAAATTTTGCACTATAAGTGTGATATAAGAAGAATTTTTTTTTAATCTTGATAGTCTCTTGCATTCAATAATGGTATGGGTTAAATTCCGCCAAATAAGTGCTAGAGAAAATGTGTGAGATCATCTTTTTAAAATCCTTAGACAATCAAAATCACGTCTTCCTGGATATTGTGGATTGGGGCTCAAAGAGATGTAGCATATTTACTGCCCCCTTGAGCGGAGCAACGTTGCTGCAGTGTGTCCTATGTCTGACACTGGATGATTTTTGCGGTTAGAAAACTATTGGTGCACGGTGAGTAATCAGCAATGACATGGGTGATGTGGACACATTTTAACTGTTGATGATGGCCTACTGTAAATTTATCTTCACATTGTGGAGTGTAGGGTGGTGAAGCTTAAGTTGAATTAGGCTGTCCATAGTTCCTTAGAGTTGAACTTACTTGCACAACACACCTTTAGATTATATCAGTTTCTTATTATTGTTTTTTTTATTGTTTATGACTTTATTCTTTTGTAGTTTTTATGTTGAGAACATTTTCCGCTCATAGGAAGATTGAGAGAAACCATTGAAAATTGACTTTTTTTCCTTGCCTGCAGAATTTGCATGCAGTACTTGTAATCATTATTTGTCAGCAGTTGCACTATATCAGTTCTCTGTTTCATGTTTTATGTGTTATTGTACAGTGTTGTATGGAACCCTGTTGGGCAGATTGGCACGTGCCAGACATACATTGTACACATTTATCGTTTGTGTGCTTTATTGAATTCATTTTGTATCTTGTAGTGTGTTTCGTAAGTGTCCATGACCCATTGATTTTGTCTACAGAACGGTGTTTCACTTGATACATGTATGAAATTGTATACATTGATTTGAACTGACATTTATGGTGTTTTAGCCCAAGTTAGTAACTTTTACTGAATGTTTTTGAAATTATTCTTTCCCGTTTAGGAACACACAGATGGGTTGATGTACTAAGCATCAAAAGACTACTATTGTTAAGTTTAAATAGTCAACTTGTTTAGCTGGAGTAGAAGTAAAATGCATGAGCTTGTATAATTTAATATGCAATGGAGCTCTTAAATTAAGAAGGCTGAGTTTGGAATTTGTTTCGGCAGCTGAGAACATCTATTGAAAGAAGCACTGCTATGTTTGACAAGGAGAAAGCACAAGAACGACTATCAAAGCTTTCAGGAGGTGTAGCTGTGATTAAGGTAATGCTTTTTCATCATTATTTCCCCCATTTCCTTCTCCTTTGTTTCTTTTTCTTCATTCCTGGTCCATTTCCTTGCTTGGCACATACATACAAATGTTATTTGCTGATGCAGGTTGGTGGAGCTAGTGAGGCTGAAGTTGGTGAGAAGAAGGATAGGGTTACCGACGCTTTAAGTGCTGCAAGAGCTGCTGTTGAAGAGGGTATTTTGCCTGGTAAGTTCAGGGTTGATTCTTCTTTCTTGAGAACAACGATAGCGTTTATCTCTCATACAAATTGTTTCTGCAGGTGGTGGTGTGGCTCTTTTATATGCTACTAAGGAGTTGGGTAGAATTGAATCATCCAATAGCGACGAGAAAATAGGCGTTCAGATCATTCAAAATGCTCTGAAGGTTGTTAGTTGTTACCTGTACACTTAATACCTTGTACTGTTTGAGAAGTTTTGTTAGCTGCTATTTGTAGAGGCATTTATATAAACAGAAGTTGACTTCATGCAGGCACCTGCTTACACTATTGCTGCAAATGCTGGGGTTGATGGTGCTGTTGTTGTTGGCAAACTACTAGAACAGGATGATTTCAATTTGGGATATGATGCTGCTAAAGGTAACTATCCCTGCATATGTGGCATGCTTAGAACCCTTATCATTTTTTGCTCCGTAAAAGCTTTGATATTACTTGTTCTCACCCATATAGCATTCCAGGGACGTATCTTATCAAAGTTTCTTGATTTCAAATTTTCTGATATTTTTGTCTGTGAGCAGTTTCTCGTATCATCACTCCTTACAGTCCTTGATTCATGAGCTGATGGTTGTGCATGGCTTTCTGCTGCAGGTGAGTATGTTGACATGGTAAAAGCTGGAATCATCGATCCCCTTAAAGTTATCAGAACTGCTCTTGTAGATGCAGCAAGGTAAGGAGTGATATATGTTGTTGGATTCTTACTTTTATGCGCACAACTGTAACTGAAGCAATTACTGAGTAATGTGATTGGTTTTCAGCATCTCGGTACTATTGACAACCACTGAGGCAGCAGTTGTAGAGCGTGCAGATGCAAAAGCTAGCAAATCACCAAGTCGCATGCCAGACATGGACGATTATGATTACTAATGAGGTTGATTAAAGGGAAAGTTTTTATTTTAGTTGAGTTTTTGCTACAGAGGATAGTTTCCAGTAAGGGAGTTTTGAAACTGATTTTAACCAGTGATTTTTACTTGCCAAAATCGAGAATATTGAGTGGTCATATTTGGATCATATTGTTGTAAAAATCGTGGGGTTTTTAATGGTTAGCCACTAGCCAGGCAACTCTTGTTCTAAAAATATCAGAAGGTTGGCATTAGATAATTATATTCGGAAGGTTGATGTTATTAGGCTGGAATCCTATAATGTGATAAACCCACATATTTATCATAAATTTCTGTTATCGTTGATGAATTTTGCCTTATTTTATGCCGCCTGACAGTTACCCCGTTTTCTCTCCAGCAGATCTCTTTCCTTAATTGTTTTGGGGTAGAAGTATACAGCTACTTGTACCTATGATTCCTTTGATAATTACTGCCTCTTATGTTCGACAAAAAATCTCGATGTCAAAATATTATGTATAATCTAAGATAGTAAGAGCGTAGAAGAAAGCATGGGGAGTTTTCAGCTAAATTATATTTCATACATATAACTATATGCCAAAAATAACTGACGGTAGTTTCTAGATAAATGCAAATCTTCAGTTATTTATTTATATCTGTTGGTCCTGTAAAGAAAAAAATGATGAAATATTATACTAGAAGTTGGAAAACTGGGAGGACAAAAATTCATGGTATTATGGAATATGACTTAGACCTATACTAAACCACCGAATAGGGAGATTACGTCTGAATGAAATATGCTTCGAAGCCCATAAATGGACCGTCTTCACTTGTACTGACTAATCGTCACTAATAACATTTAGTAATGTTTATATACTTGTGATTTCTTTCTAGCATGATTAATATTACTTTTTGGTGAATGAACTACTTTTTATTTCTCATTAAGAAATCATAACCATCCGTGAACTCTTGAAACACGCAGCTCATGAATCAAATTAACTAAACAATTAATGAGTAAACGTGATGAAATCTCCTCAAGGATTTTACAATATCTCAGATTCATAGAATATACACTGACCATGATTTCAAATGACAGAGAAGAATACAGTGTCTATTCATTGCTAGTTAACATATTTCCATTTTCTAGAGGCTCCCAAATCCGCTCCTCCTCCCTCTTTGGCGCTTCCCTTAATTATGAAAATTAAATGCTGCCCCTTCTTATTGCATGAATGTTTTCCCCACCCTTCAACGGTTACCTCTCGTATATGTAATCCTGCCAAAATCTCTCCATATAAATTTAGATACTTCCATACACACAAAATCTTACCCCCAGTTAATCATAAAAAGAATGACCCACCTCAGTTTCTTCTTCTTATTCTTCTTCTCGGGTTTCATTTCTTCTTCATCTTCAAACAACTCTGTGGATTTCAACCCTCTTCAGTCCTTCAGGTCTTCTTCTGACCCCGCCGGCCTCCTCTCCTCGTGGGATCCAGAGACCGATCCTTGCTCTGGCTCTTGGGTCGGCGTTTATTGCCACAATGGCCAAGTCACAAAGCTCGTGCTAGAAGAGCTCAGGCTCAATGGAACCATAGAAGCTCTAGCTCGGCTTCCTCATCTCACAGTCCTCAGTCTCAAGAACAACCACCTCTGTGGCTCTCTCCACCTCTTGAGCCTCTCTCTATGGCAACCTCACCTTAAACTCCTATTTCTGTCAAATAATAAATTTTCTGGTCCTTTTCCTGAATCAATCCTCCACCTTCGTCATCTCCATCGCCTCGATCTTGCAGGGAATCAATTTTCAGGTGTAATTCCTGCCAGTATCGGCATTCTCCTTCCACATCTCCTCACTCTTCGTCTTGAGAAAAACTTGTTCACTGGTGAAATTCCAGGCTCAGTTGGCAAAATTCAAAGCCTTGTCGATCTAAATGTCTCTTACAACCATCTCGTTGGTGAGATCCCGAAGAATCTGTCGTTTTCTTCTTCATCATTTATAGGAAACTTGGCATTATGTGGAAACCCTGTAGAGGATTGCCCGAAACAGGCAATGCCTACCTCATACAGCGACAAGAAGAAGAAGAAGAAGAAAAAGAAAAAGAAACATTGGATTCTGATATTGTTTCTGATTATCATTATCCTTTCAATATCAGCAGTGTTGCTGGCTGCTTTCTTGATTTTCATGCAACGGAGATGTAGGACAAGAGAAGGGAAAGGGGATAGAGGAAGCGAAGATGAGAACCCGAAGGGAACAAAAGAGGAGAGGCTTGTGTTCTTCGAAGGGTGCGAAGAGTTTGTGATGGAGGATCTGATGAGGGGGTCAGCGGAGATGCTGGGGAGAGGGGTGGTGGGGTCCACGTACCGAGTGGTGATGGAAGGAGGAGGAGGAGAAGGGGAGAGAGT